GCCGCGGAGGAGAGGAGGGCCGCGGAGGAGAGGAGGGCCGCGGAGGAGAGGAGGGCCGCGGAGGAGAGGAAGGCCGCGGAGGAAAGGCAGAGGGCCAAGGCAGAGGAGGAGGAAAAGGCTAGGATAGAAGAGCAAAAAAGAAAAAAGCAGCTAGAAGAGAAAAAGAATGAGATGCAAGACACAAAGATGAAAGGGGGGAAAGTCCTGGAGAAAAGAGAAGGGAAGTGGGTAAATGAAAAGAGAGTTCAAGAAGACACACCTCAGACAGCTGGCCTAAAGAAGCAGGTACAGTAAATGACTTGCACCCAGTGTGTGATGCCTGTGACTTATGAAAAATGTAATGCACTTCGAATTTGGGCCTGAGGTCACTCGCATACAGTCCAACGCTCCATCATTTGGCAAGCTATTCATTTTTTTCAAGTCATAACAATACACACGCATGAAGCAATCAATGGGTGGCCAAATACATAACCAACCAAATTTATTGGGCCAACCAGAGAGAGATGAATTGCTCTGTGCGGGATTGTTGTGACGACAAAAAAAAAATGAATTAACCCAATGGTGGTGAAAGTGGCAGTGCTGTGTTGACTGCAGTTTCTGCATCTGCTTCTGAATGCATTCTTTATTACCTCTTTTCCTTATCTGTAGGTCAGCATGAGGCAAGAGGCCCTTCACTTCCCACTTTACCCATGTGTTTGATATTAAATTTAAAAACTATAAAAACCAGAAATTGACATAAAGCATTATGGTCAGCTGGGCGCAACTGTGATCCAAGCATTCTGAGAGGCTGAGCCAAGTTCAAGCCCAGCCCAAGCAACCCAGTGACTTAGCAAGATTCTGTCTCAAGATAAAATATAAAAAAGTGTCTAGGGATGTAACTCAGTGTGAAGGACCTGGGTTCAATCCCCAGTGTCAACAAAAAATATATATATATGGTCAGACATTTCATTTTAAAAAGGCAAAAAAAAAAACCTTTTGATCAACTGGAAATAAAAGAAGGAAAGGAGCCAGTGGGAACCTGTATTCTAAAGGTCTCAAAACCGTGGTTTGCCATCATGTAGACCTTCGCTTAATGCAGACTTGCAGAAAGTGACCCATCAGGGCTAGAGCCAATGACGGAAGGGTAATTAAGAGCCTGCACTCTGTGTCTTTGGTTGTCTGGGTGACAGATTCCTTCGGTGTGAATAAGGGTGGGAAAAGCACAGGTAGGGGTTGGGGAGAGAAGAGTACAAACGGGAAAAGTTTTTGGCATTTTCTTCTGTCTGCAAGTCTGCATTAAGAATACTGTACCTAGCACCACCGCGCCCCTCACACGTAGGCACACAAAAAGAAAGCAGACACTTGCATGTTCACTTTTTTGAAGCCAACTACTGAGCTGAAGTGGCCTTTCACTCTGCTTCTTTCTGTACAAGGGTCTCGTGCACGCAGCTGTAACCGAGATCATATACAAAGCGCACCCAGCCACACGTGAGACTTGTAAATACACACAAGGTATGCCATGCCATGCTAGGTTTCGGTGAGCACAATGCAAGGGACAAAAGAAAGCTGGTCACAGGTGTGTGGAAACCGCTCACGTCACTCTACAGAGCCACTGGCACCAAGGCTGTAAGTGTGGCGCTCAGACAGCCAAAGCCCGCTGTCCCACAGCACCTGTGCAGTGGTCTGAACACCCCTCACTCTTGCAAGTTAGAAAGGGCTGCTTTTACCTGAGTGACCTTAATTACTCTTGAAAATGAAAAGGAAGAAGAGAGGGGACCTAAAGGGCAAGCTCAAAGACAAAAGCCCCAAGAAGACAAGCCTGCTCTCAAAACACAAGAGGTAAATATTACTGAGAAATAATCTGGTAAACTACAGAGAGTGGGCTGTGTTCCAGGATATTTCAAGTCTAGCAAGTCTCAGAACCGTAAACCTTAGCTCAGTAGTTTTCAAGCCATGACCACGAGCCACTGAACGGTAAGATCGCAGATGGTCTCAAAACTAGTAACTGCCTGGCATGGTGGCACATGCCTGTAATCCCAGCATTCAGAAGGCTGAAGCAGGAGGATTCCCTGAGTTTGAGTTCAGCTTGTGCTACATAGTGAATTCAGGACCACCCTGGAGTGTACAGTGACATCCTGTCTCAAAGAAAAAGAATTAGGTAATCAGTATTTTACAAAATGAAATGGAATAGAAAAATACTAGAGGTCACTGGAGGTAGCTTTACATTGTCATAAACACTTTATTATTGTGGATCATACTCAAAGATTGAAAAACACTGGCCCAATCAGTCTTTTCCTGCTTTCTTCTAAGTGCTAATTTTTCTCTCTTGAGCCATCCTACTTGCATTTCAATCATGAACTATTTCCAACTGGCTTTGATTAATGCTTTAACTTTTTAAAGGAAAAAAAAAAAAAAAACCCTCCTACTCCCTACATTTGAGTAGAAAATTTGGTGAACTGAAGATGATATTTTATTTCCAAAAGAAAAGTTTGGCCAAATGTCCTGCATTGCATTTCTGAGGCACACACAGGAGCAGGTACCAAAGGGTTTTCAGGGAGGTAAGTAAAAAGGGTTATCGTAGGCTGAGTGACACAGCATTCCACCATCATCGCTGTCCACAGCAAAAAGCTGGGCGGGGCTCCATGTAAGTAAGCACCACGTTTATTCTAGGCCCCAATAATCCTATTATTTGTACTCTATCTAGTAAGCTCAGGATACTTGAAAGTGGTGAAATGGAATTGTTGAAGGTAGGACGGTCTGTGCGACTTGGCTGACCAGACTGATAAAGCGACTGGTGGCTATTGGGTGCCAACTCAAATGGGCTTTCATTACATTTTTCTACCCATTGTGGCATCTATTAAGAGAACTAAAAGATGTAAGAGAAAACTAAATCCACATTTAGAAAATAGATGATGGGATTAAATAGGAAATGGGTTATTTTCTTTCATTTTTATGAGACTGATATAGAATAATGACCTATCTTCCAATTACATATTATGATTATTTTAAAATTTCTACTGTTCTGTGTTTCTAATAGCACTTTTGGTGGTTTGGGGAAAACTGAATGTTAGTCCTGCCCCCTAAATAACTGAAAAATGGAATTTAGCTCTAATGAGTCAACTAAGAATCCAGTCCAGAAAAAAAAAAAAAGTCTAGTCGAATATGTTAGAAAATGCTTCTCATTTTGTGAAAAAGAATTACAACAACTTTAGCTTCCAAAGAAAGAAGAAAAGAAAGATGTTTACCAAGGACCTAAACTCAGTGAAACTGGCCCACTCGCGTTCCCCTCCAAAGCTAGAGGATGGTGGTAAATATCTAAGCATAGGAGGAAGAAGGCCTGAAGTTGGGCTCTGTGATTAAACAAACAGGGTAATGAGACTATAATGAGCACTGTTTGGATATATAAAATTTAATCTAGTTTACTAACATGGGATTGACCCAGAGCATCGGATTCCTGTAGAGGGTGTCTGTGAGCTAGAGAGGGCTCCTCAGCTGAGCAGCCTGCGCAGTTTCTGCCCCATTTTGCCCCAAAGCAAATTCCAGAGTCTCAAAACTTTTGGCTCCCCTTTCACTCAAGATAAGCTCTACAACCTAGGCTTTTAAGAGTCTGCATCCCTATTTTCATATTATGTAGATGGCCTGCTGGTTGGGGCCTGAGTTTCTTCCAGTCTGGTTAACTGTACCATTGCTTCATAGAGATGGCTTTAAATCATTCTACATGACAGGCATTTTAAGTAACTTCTTCCTATGTATTTTTGTTGTTCTTGTTGTTTTAAAAGTCACACCAAAAACAAACTAAAACCTTCCTGTCAAGGACCAGTTCAGTGTAAGCAGTCAGCCACAAAGAAAACATCATGTGAGCCTTAGAGAAACATCTCCAAAATGCCCTCCTTAAAACACAACTCCATGCTTTTCCATTGAGGTTTGACTCTGTTTGGGGCAGTGAAAGGCACAGAGGATCACCAACCCTGAGATTTAATGTAGCTTGCTTCCTCTCCTCTCCAATTATAAAAATTTCTTTTTAGCTCTTCATCCAAGGAGCTTTCCCTCCCACTCCTGACCTCTAGTAGAAAAACAAAGTGGTCAGAAGAGTTGCTCAACAATACTGACCCTGCTATTCATGTCCTCTGGGCCAACATTCCCTAAACTTGAATGTGCAGGCAAATCCCTCAGGAATCTTATTCAATGCAGAATTGATTCAATGGCTCTAGGATAGAAAATGAGCTCCCTTGGGGCTTCACGTTGTCCCTGGATGAAACTTTCTATATCAAGGAGTCTAGAAGATAGCCACAGGATAGGAAAGCAACCTAGGACAGGACTTGGGACTTCTGAAACTAAGAAAAGCATGTTAAGCATGCTCTGGGGAGCTGTAACTTATGTGTCACTCTTGTTGCTATTCAAGAATCAAATAATGGCAAAGCAGTGTTCTTTGAGATTCACATCTCATTCTTTTTCCACTTGTTCCCTTGACCTTCTGGGTCTCTCTGGTATCAGAGCCACTTAAATGCCCACCTCTCCCATGCCAAAGTTTGACACCATTGGATACTCCAAATAACCAGAGCTTTATCCAAATGATCACAGTTGGTTAGAACCTTCCTTGTGAGACTACAAATGTTAACTGTGTGTGAAGCACATTAACTCCTTCAGGACACTTGGACACACCAAGTGTGCACACCATGCTGTGCATAGATTTTTTTTTTTTATGATAACACTCCAACCTAGAAGATCTCTTTCTTTTCCCAAGTAGCTCAGAATCTCCTGGGCTCAGGTTGAGCCACCATAGAACTCAATACACAATACTGCTTAACATATAAATTCTCTATAGAATTGCTTCATTCATTCATTTCTCAGAAAAAGACAATACTTTTCAGCAAATTCCAGTAAGAGCGTATCTACCCGCCACCATAAACACTACCAATAAAGGCAGAGCTTAAAAGAGAAAATGGGGGGGGGGGTGTTCCTTGCTTCTGTTAGACATTTATTGTTTTGTAAATCTGTTTGAAACTGCTTTTTTGGCCAGAGAATTGGGTAATATGTTTTGGAAGAATGGAAATATTTTGACTGCAAATAGGAGAAATAAGTTTGAAGGAATTTTCCCACGCATAATGCTCCACAAACTCTGATTTGATTCAGCATGTATCAGTGGAACTCCTTAGATGAGCTGCACTCACCTCCACATTTGTATCTCCAGATACTTCTTAGGTAGGGTGTAAACTCTAGTCCGTGGTTTCTGGGGTTCTAGTTAGTAATGGTAAGCCAGTACAAGAACACGCTCTCCTTCCCTGCCTGCCCGATGAATACTGACTTTTGGACAAAGATGACCACCAAGCAGCCTTGACCAAGTTCTAGCACAGGGACCGAACTTCCTTCCGGTTGCTCTTGACTCTCATGATCAATCAGGAACCAAGTGAGAAAGGGCAAGGAAAGATTAGGTAATGATCCTCTCATCCAGTCCTGTCTTTCCCTTACATGGCTAGAACCAGGATGCCACAAAAGTCTGTTGACTTGCTCCAGGAACACAGCTAGGTTGTTAACAGCTGGAACCCGTACCCAGGTCTCTTAACTTCCCAATCTCCCAGGGAGAAAGCACGACAATACAATAGCTCCCCTTTTGGTATTGCCAGGGGCATCCTATTGTAACCCTCTTAAGAGACAGGTAGTTTTAACCAGTTAGGACACCACAGCAAATAATCATCTATAGTAATTTAATAAATAGCACCCAAAAGGAGATAATCAGATGAAGGATTGTTGAAGAAAAGAAAAACCCAAAATATACCTTTTGTTGCAAAATATGCCCTTTTGGAGTAATTTGTCAGAGAATGTTGAAGAATGGTCATTTGGAGTGAGCTGTCAGATAAGGGGGGAAAGTACTGGGTAGCCCCACAGTCCATAGTTCTTACTGTTTCCCTCCCGTTAGAGCCCTAGGGCTTTGTAACTGTTCTCAAAAAGAACAATGATAAACTGTACCTATTTGCATGTTCTTTTTTATATATAATTTTATTGAGGAACAAATAGCAATGAGACAGTTTCAAAACCGATTAGTAGGACAGTTTCAATAATTAATACATTGCATATTGTTGTCTTAGTGCAAGATGCAGACATGATAGCCTGTCCACAAACACTATTAGTACAAATCTTTCTTCTCATTGAATTAAGAAAAAGTACCTACATATCTACCCTAACTATTTTGGGGGTTTTATTCCCATAATTTTATTGAGAAACATTGCCAGTCAAGCAGAAGACCCAATACTATTATGGACTACTGGACTATTTTGGAATATTTGGCTGAGTTTACACACCTATAATATTTAAATGATGGAACTAAACAAAAAAAGGGGGATACAGATGAATGACCATTTTGTATCTGTGTATTCAAAATGGTTAGCATAGATATATAACTACATGCTCTTAATTCAATGAATAGAGGGATTTGTTCTAATAGTGTTTGCATGTTCATCTTTTAAAAGTGGTGAGAAGATGAAGTCAGGGTCACCTAAATTCCTTTGCCCTTGGCGCCCCAAAAACTATGTAAATTTCATTTACTTTGAAATAATCTGTCTCATTTACTGTAAGAATTTGTAACACAGGGCTGGCCAGATAGCTGAGTGGATTAAAGCACCTGCTCAGGCAGATGCAGTGGCCTGGGTTCGAGGACCGCCATGCTGTGCTGGACCCGCCCCCGGGGGGGGGACGCTGAGATGGTGATGGACACTGGGCATGGTGGCGTGTGCCAGTGCTTGGGAGACTGAAAACAGGAGGATCACTGTGACTCCCATCTGTGTAGTGAGACCCCGTAGACCCCGTACTAAAAACATTTTAAAAATTAAATGAAATTAAATTTAAAGAAGAATTTGTAATGCAAACCCCACAAATTATTAAAGCTGACTCCTGCCCTCCATTATCATCTTCTTCTGTATCCCCCCAACAATCACAAAACTACTTCCAGAGGATTAAAATTTTCCTCACAGTGGAAATCAAGGTAAACCTTGGAGTTGTTCCTATTCCATTCTAACTTTAGTGGTTTAGATAACCATGGCCATGGTCCCATGGGTCTCTGATACCTCCCCTTTGAGATAGGTCCTTTCTATTGGGACCAAACAGCAAAACTCTTACATGAAGATCCCAGAACTTCAGCATCCCCAGGCACTAACATTCCCTATGGCTCTCCAAAACAAAAACCCCCATGAGAACAAGGTTGATCTTAACTTCCCAAAATTATAGTCGAAGTCTTTGTTCATGAACCAAAAGATCTCATACTCTTTAAGAAGTTTCCCTGACCCAACCCCTCCTCTACCATTCATTTTGCAGGTAGTTCTACTTCTGAAATTTGGGACCTTATTTGGCAATACCAACTGAAGTCTAATAATATTTTTATCATTATGTTTCTTTCTGGTGTGAACTGGTGGTTAGATCAAAGATGAGAAGATTAAAAAGGACAAGGAGCCCAAAGAAGAAGTTAAGAGCTTCTTGGATCGCAAAAAGGGATTTACAGAAGTGAAGTCACAGAACGGAGAATTCACGACCCACAAACTTAAAGTCACTGAGAATGCTTTTAGGTAAGAAGCTGTGACCACTTAATAGCGACTGTGTTCCTATGTGGGGGAAAAAGCCAGTCTCCCAGTCCTGTGCCTCTACTCAGAAACATGCTCAACAGGCAACATTCTTTCTTTGGGAGATCACTGGCTGTGGTCTTAGAGATAAGCAGCCAGCAGATTCCGGCCCTCCTCTCATGTAGATCAGCAGGGCTTAATCTGCTTTTCTCATCTTTTCTTTTTTTCTTCTTCAATGCAGATCCCGCTTAATGCCTACCTTCTTGTCCACTGATCTAATATATTTATTAAAAATTTTTGTGATTGAGATTAATATCATTGGTTCATTCTCTGAATGGTCCAGCCAATGTCACAAGAGACCCTTCCTAGCATCATTTTTAAGTATTCATTTAATTTTGTAAGTAAATGTCACATAAAGTCAAGATCATTCATGACTGAATACTTGGGAAACGATAGATTAAGCCACATCTCTTTACCATAAGACTCTGATAACGTTAATGTCAGTATCCTGTGGAAATATCTAAGAAGGAGAGAGAGAATATGGAACTACTGTTCCATGTCATTCATTTCAGAGGACTGAAACAGCACTCGCTTCTCACTCCTCTTTACTAACATATTGAAAATCTGGGCAATTGATTATAGGACACACTATAGGATACGCAGATCAATTCTCACTTTCAGATACAGTTGTGCAGAGACCCACTATCTGTTTTCTAGACAGATTTAAGGTTCAGAAGTCTGCTGCAGACAGTAGACTACGTGACCTCTGCCCCACCCCCACAAACCCTCTCTAACCACTGCTGCCAAATCCCAACCTGTTATGTCTGGCTGCCGTACCAGATGTGCTGGAAAAGAATTTTGGGTCCCTGCAGCGTGTATTTCCATGGAGGTTGATTCCTGGCAGCAAACTCGCCCATAGATCTATCTTTCTGAACACTTCAAATAAGAAAGTCACCAAGCTGATTCTGTGTAGAAGCTCTTACACCAAAGTCTTATAACATTCAGAAGCAATCAGATAGACATTTCAGGCCTATCTAAGATGACTAAACAGAGTCGCCCCCAAACAATTTTTCTATATAAAAATCTGAGCAGCGACCCACTCTCATTTATGAGCCTAAAGCACACAGAAGAAACGTCAACACAAAGGGCTTAAGTGCAACAGTTTAGGAGTAATTAGTTGGAACTGGTAAGAGAATATACGTGAAAATTAGAAGTGATTAGAAATTCATAAAAAATCTACAAAGCAAGTTGATTCAGACTGGAAAGCCAGGTTCAAAGCTTTATCATTTAAGGTCCCCACACAGGTCCTGAAAAATGTTCGGTGATTATTATCTAATATTATAGTTTTATTGCTTGGCAGATTAAGATTTGTCTGTAAAATATAAGGCATTTTTAAGGAACAAGGTGTTTGCTTGCTTAAATTATTAAGAGTAAGATTTTTATTCATTTGAATAAATCCTTACCCTAGATGGTTAACCATTAGCATCACTGCCAAAGAGCTGTAGTGAAAACTCTAATTAATAATTAGCATGACTATTGTGTATATATGCAGAGAGCTGGGTAATTTAAACATCAGAAAAGCCACAGAATCTACAACCACAGGTTAAGCAATAAGAACTCTTGAACATGACTCCCTTAATTTTGCCGTACTGGACAGAAGATAGGAACAAGCTGCCACTGTTTACTTGTTTTCATTTAACTGCCAACCTCTGAGAGTTTCAGTTTCAGTTAGAATTTGAGGCCGCTAGGAACAGAAACAGCTGGGTTTGTGCCATATGCTTATAAAGTGAAAAGCAAGTGAGAAAAGCTTCAATTTAGATGAAACTGGTACCTACTCACTTAACTAAATAGTAACCAATGACAAGATAATTTTCAGTAGCCAAAGATGGGATAGTTCTCTTGATTTAGATCTGTTGAAGCTTAGGCAGGAAGAGAGGAGGACTTCATGGAAGAACTTTCCAGAAGAGTGTCTCCAAAGGCTGACAGCTGCTAGCACATGCAGGCAGTCACACTCCTCTTTGAGCATAGCTCCTTCCATCTGATTTATTTACTGACTCTTTAAAAGTCTTATTTTTTTGTACCTGGACTGCTTTCTCTAAAACATGACATAAGAATCTCCATTTGATGAGCAAGTGATGGAGAAAGCAGGTAATGACAAGGACTTATAGAAAGCAGAAAACAAGGATTGCTTTATTTTCTAAAGTGAGAATTTTTTCTGATTATCAATAAATTTTTCTATACAAATAACTTTCTACATATATAAAATTCCTCACAATATATATAACCTATGTGTGAATGTAAATCTATATACTTTTAATTGATTCTTATACCATTCATAGCAAAGTCAAATAATGAACTTTTATAGCTAAAGTATAAGCTTCTAATTAATGATGTCAGGGTATCCCACTGGCTGGATTTTTTTGTTTGTTTGGGGGGTTCAGTTTGGCTTGGTTTGGTGTGGCTTGGCTTGGCTTGGCTTGGTTTGATTTGATTTGATTTGATTTGATTTGATTTGATTTGATTTGGTTTGGTCTGGTTTGGTGGGTTTTTTTGTTTTGTTTTGTTTTGTTTTGTTTTGTTTTTTTGTACATGTGTATTTTCAGGAAAGATCTGCAGTGTGTTCAGGGTCTCACTCCTAGATCAGACTAGTAGTGATCTGCCTGTTTACAGCCTCCTGAGAGATGGGATTACAGGCGCAAGCCACCAAGCCCAGTTGCCTGCTCAGTGCACCCTGGCAGTGGGGTTGGTTTGGTTTTTTGAGACAGGCTCTCACTATGTAATTTAGCCCAGGCTAGCACTCACTCTATAGCCCAGGCTGGCCTCAAATTCTGCCTTAGCCTCCAGGTGTTGAGATTACAGTGTGTATCACCACACCTGGCAATTCTGACTTTAACCTGACTCTTACGATGGACAATGTAATTATCCAAAACAGACATTGAGTGATATCTAGCAAACTCAGAGACGTTCCCATAGGCTTGACTGTCAGTCCAGTTCCTGCCCCGCAACATAAAAAACAGAGAGAAAACATATTTCTAGAGCTGGAAAGACCTTCAATTAACTGAGAAACATGTCAGGGTGAACCTCTATGTCACTAAAAGAGCATTTTGAGGTCAAAACAAGAATCATCTTTAACTGTAAAGAACCTAGGATAATATTTTATGTTTTAACCATAAGCCATAGTGAGAAACAAATTTTACATCATGACCCCACAATGTATATCCCACCAAAAAATGTATGCACATTTCAGGAAAAGAAGAACTTGTAACTAGTTTAATAGTAAATGTACTGAAACAGCATATTAATACAAGTTACCTTTGGCCTCTATGACTTTGGGAGGTGCTCAAAGTGGCTATTAGCCTGGAGGCTATTAGCTTCTAGGGAATTCATTAACACCACAAACCGCTGCTTGGGTAACCTTAGTCATTGGGACACTGCGCATGCATTTGCAATTTCTTCTTTAAGGGACGGCAGTGTAGTGGGTTTTCTGTAATAAATGACATCCTCTAGGGTGCCCTTTTGTGAGGATAACATCTGTTATCCTGTTATCTGTGGAAAAAACCATATTATTATTTTCCTGAATTGCATATACATTTTTAGCAGCCTATATATGTATTTATAACCAAAACCAGTATGTTAGCAAATGATCCTTTCTTTGCCTTTCTATGGTATGCTTTGATGTTTTCTAGTTCATGTTCTAAATACTGATTACAGTCCACTAAAATGAGTTGCGACCTCCTGCTTAAAAACTGTAGTCTTGGAGAATACGGTTTCTTCATAACTACCTCAGGGTTTAAAAGCATGATACCTGCAAAATAAGACTGGCACTGTACTATGTTATTCCTTGTCATGTCTCGCAGCTCCAGCATCATGTCACTGTATTCATGGAATAAATGAAATTAGACAGCAGTCACAAATAAGTTGCTTGTGTTGAAAATTAATTTTAAAAGACCTCACTATTGGTTAATAAAGTATTTAATAGAAGACATGCTCTATCTTTGCTTCTGAGTTAAAAACTAACTGTAGCAAAGCCCTCCAACACACCATTAACTCCTCCACACCCAGGAAGGTCCAATTTGTATTTGTTTTGTCTTAATGAAGAAAGTTCTATGCAGTTTCCACTTTGACTAGCAACATGGTTCAAGAAGACCAATATTCTAACCATCTGATAGCAAGTTTCCTAAAGGAGCTCAGGGTCTGCGGGTGTTACCCTCCATCTTTTAATATCATCCAGGTAAAACATTCAATTTTAATAAAATTTAACCCAAAGACTGGGGATAGCTTTTGACTTCAGCCTTAACGTGTTTTCAGTCGTACAGCAGAATTCCTCTGGATCCTCCATCATTTCAAAAGAAAAACTTCCACCCAGCTCCAGCTTCTGTTCATGCTCATAAGAAGCCTCGCCCCTCTTCTTCCTGTGTTGTGAGCTGTGCTGTCGGAGCATCATCCGCAGCAGGCAGGGAAGGTAGCTGGGCCTAGACTGTAGATACTCTGGACAGTTACAGGTGGGAAACACCCCCAACCAACTGTTGGGGAAATTTGAATGGAGAGGCCAGGAGGTGGGCTACTATGGCCTATTTCAATAGGTTTATTGCTTCATTTTTATTTTTTTTTTATTTTATTTATTTTTTTTATTGACATCAGTTATTTTTATTTTAAAGAAAGAAAAAAAAATAAAAACAGTGGTACAAAAATCTCAAAACAAGATTTTAGGAGAGTAACAATGGTTAGTACATTGTGTGTTGTTATTGCCAAAGTAGTTTCTCATATTACAAGACATAGGCAAGAAATAATAAGCAAATAACATAGGTA